ATATTGTCTCCAGCTAGATAAATGAAGTCTCTCTATCCTCACGTGATTTGGGTTTGATGCCACTTAACCTCCTCCCCGAGGAACAATCTCAAAGTAAGAAACAAAAACTGTGGCACTCTAAATGGCCTAAAGACCCTTCACACATGCATATTTTGACTAGAAATCTTGAAATGACAAAATTTAAAGGAAAATAATGTCAGATTAGAAGAAAGGTTGAATTTACTGCAATTTATAATTTTTATATAATGTATTATATAATTGGGTCTGTAAAGATAATTTCTCTAATTTAGGGCAGAAAACTTTATCATACTTTTATTATCAATAATTTATTTTACGTGGAAATTGGTGATGAAAATTTTCAGCACATTCCACTTCCACTTATCTTTTAGAAACTAATAGAAAGTTTCCATAGTAATAAGTGGTATAGTAATAAAAAGGTCCTAGAGGTTGTTGACAATTGGTTAATATTAAGTCCTGTCAGGTCTGTTTACAGTGAGTGTGTAACACATGAAAGTCACCTTTCTGTTTTCAAGAGAATTTGGGAAACAACTAAAGACACCAGCTCTCCAAAGCTGTTCCATCAAAGCATTAGTTCAAAAACAAAAAGTAGACCAATGTAATTTGCATTTTATGGTTTTCTCTGGTCTTTCTTCTTCATTTAGTTCATTCCAGAAGGTTATTAAGAAGATTAAAGCAGGTGTTTGCAGGTAGAAGAGTCAAGTTCATTAGGATAATAATTACTCCCCGGTTACTATCTAATCTTAAATTGCTGCTGGGCACTTGTGACCTTGAGGCTGTCACACAGCCTGTTCTCCAGAAGGCTCATTGCTAATATTTCTGGGGGACAGACAAAGCAAAACAAAATATTTCATGTGAGAAAATACACAGAACCACTTTTTCCTAATACCAGCGTATGAAATTTGACTGTTCAGTGGAAGATAATGAAAAGAGGGTTCATTCTCCTCAGTAAGCAAACCTCACTGAACCTACCATATAGCTTTTAATTGCAGAATCTGTTTTCTCTCTGTACCCCCTTCTTGTAGACTTTAACCTATTCCTAAGATTTGTGGTTCTTTGTAAATGATACCAAGGCATGAATCTATGCTGACTTACAAATAAAGCAAGTTATCCTCAGCAAGTTACTTTGCAAGGTTTATTTCTCCTTTCCTAGTTCCTGTAGTGTCTGTATGATTTAATTGAGTTGGCATCAAAATCATCATCAACATCAAAATAGAAATTGTGGAAATATGACATAATTTCCATTTTTTTGTAACACGTTTCTTGGGAATAAACTGTTTTGTATAACAATCTGCACTGTGTCATACAAGTAAGGCTCCATGTAAGTGCAGCTCAGCTAAGTTACATTGCAGTGTTTACGCAATGGAGTACTATCATTCTTTACATGGTAGGAAAGCCTGGATCAGCTTAGGATGCTTTTATTCACTCAAAAAGAAGGGGTGGATTGATATTTAGTGTCATTTAGCAACTCTGAGAATGTCTTTTGTGGAGAGAATGTTACTGTGTGGTGGTGTACCACTGGGCGGCTCTTAGAGCCAGGAAGAGGAAGAGAGAGCATGACATTGTCACCCACAGGGGACCCACCAGGGACTGCTCTGTGCTCCAGCTGTCTATATACAACTATTGCACATGCCATCCCCATCAGAAGCATTGGAAAAAAAAATTTTCAAGTGACTGCCTTAACCACCAACACAGGCAGTCTTGGTAACTTTTTCTTACCACCCAGATGACTCTTAATGACCACTGTAGTTAGTTTTACTCTAAATACAGTGGATCAAGTTTAACATCAGTAGCAGAGACTATCTCCATCCTCCCTCCTAGCACCTATATATCCCAGTTGTGAAAGCCTTCCTCAGTGATACCAGATGGGCAAATTCAGATTCCCTCAAATAAAAAAATAATTTTACTTGGGTCTTCAACATGTATTAGATTAAACTGTTCTGCTGCATACAAAGAAGAAAGGGTGCCATAAGAGAATATAGTCACTTGCACTCATTTTGAGTACAGCATGACATATAGATGTTCTCAGTGTTTCTAAAATCAAGCCTCAGAGATGAAGCAGTCAGGGAATATTCCATTTCCTGATGCATACATGCGCTCAGCCCCTGTTGAGAAACAAAATGATATGTGTATATGCGGGAGCAGAGTTTCAGATGCCTGAAACATTTTGCAGCAAAATCAAGTTGCTCCACCTGTGTTCAGGTTTGAATAAGATCTGCACTGGATTTACCAACATCACTATTTCGAACAGGGCTTTGAAACTCCACTAATGTATGATATATGCTAGGACCAGTCCTGTTGCTGTCTGAGCTGTTCTGATGCGCTCAGAAACAACTGGGTGCAACTAACAGGACTTGGAGCATTCTTGTTCCATCCACAGACATGGCCCTACTGAGGAGAATAGGAAAAAGTACCAATGGGTAAAAAGTGTAAATTATCCACTTTCTCTCTTTAAGTCAAAGGCATAACTTCTAGATCATAATTCTAATTCCACAGCCTGTTCTTTTGCGATTTTTTAATACCAGGATATTAAACTAAATAGGAGACACCTGTTGTTGCCTCAAATGTAATACACAAATTCAACAAAATTCATACCAGTTTTTCCTGCTGGAGAAAAAATGTTCTAGCTGATAAGCATACTGGAGAGAACCAGGGCATATTTGTATTTAAACAATAAAAAAACATGTATGCTTAATATATCTTGGAGATATTATCTTTTTTAAACACATAGAGTTAAATGAAATGGTTAAGAGAGAAAGAGAAGGAAATGGTGAGATAAGACACCTGAGATAAATAGTTTTAGAGTTGTTAAAGCAAGTGGGATATCAGAGAGGAGAAAGCCACCTATTGGACTCCATTCAGGTGACAAATACTTCAGTCTTCTCAAGCATGAAGACAGGTAGAGATTTTGAAAACTAAAATGCCCAGAAAATGGATGAGTGGTAGTTGATGCAGAGACACAATAGCAGGAACTGACAAACTGCTTGCAACACAGCTGCTTTGAGAAGAGCCCCAAAGATAAACTGGGGGGGGGGGGGGGGGCAGTGGGAACTCACAGTGTTGTAGCCAGCATACCCCATGTACAGCCCTTTCATCTCTTTTACTAACACACCTATTGAAGCTGAGGAGTGCCTAAATACCACTGTTTTAAAAGGCCTTCTGTCTTTCCACATTTATGCTGTAACAGGATCCTGTCTGAAAGCTCATGTAAATACCATCAGGAGTTGGACCCTGGACATAAATAACAGCTGTGAGAAAAGAAAAGGCAATGCAGTGAGCCAGTCAAAAAAACACATGAAACAACTCTTTCAGAGTGAAGAAGAGGTATTAATTTTTTGAGGTTTGCAGTTGAAGGAACCAAAAAGACCAAAGTGTAAGTGATAGATGCATCCTGGGTTTTTCTGTCACAACTATAGCACACAGACAGTTTGCATGTAAATGAAGTAACATTTGTCCCTTAGTTCTACATCAGCCTTACATCTCTGATTCACCAAGAGGAAGGATTTATGATCAATAGGTTGTGGCTGCAAGAAATTACTTTGTTCTTTTTCCTTTCCTCATCACTCATAAACTGCACTTCTCCCATGAAACCTTTCAGCAGTGAACTTTATACAGATTTTACAAGTCCAAGTTTTGCTGTACCTCATGTATAGCATTATCTGAATAGTTTTTATGTGGTTTAGATTCCTGTGATTTAAATTCTGTAAAGATCTTATCTAACGATACTCCTTAATCTGCCATTAACTTGTAGCACAGGAGCAGTGCTGTTGGTTTCTGAGCAATAAATTTCCTGCTTGAAATTTGTTCCTTGAAAAATATGTGTGTTTTAAGTGTTCTTACCACTTCTGCTTTACAGCTAGAGTTTCAGATTGCTCCAATTTTAGCAGAACTAATGAGATATGGGGGGAAATATTAGCAAAAGAAGCTCTGTAAAAGCACTCTTTTCCTATTAAAAGAGAAACCCAACAACAAACAACAAAGAAACCCAACCAACCAAACAAAATCTCTCTTATTCTGGAAGCATTGTTTCTGGATACTTGAGATAAGACTGCCAAAATAGGTGAGCATTTGTCAGATGTCATTTTTTTTACTGATAGAAACATAGTTATACAATGTTATTAGTGACATTTAGAATTCCTCTCAAAGGTCTCTGGCTGGAGGATGGAGTGTGGCTTCCAAAGGTTGTCCACATTTGGATTTATCTTTTTTTTCAGAGGGCTCTCTCAGGCATATGACAAAGCAGGGGCTCCCATATTTCTACCCCTGCTTCCTTCAGTTTCTAAGCAGTACAATTTTCTATTTATTTCCTTGCATATTGCCAAGAACATTATTAGGTCTTACACTGATCCTACCGGGGATATCAGCTGTAGCTCACCTGTTCACTTCAGTGAATGCAAGAGCAAGATGAGTTCTCGTTTGTATGTATATACTTCCCTCTTCCAGCAGCTCTAAAATACATGCTTTTGAAAGAGTTAATATAAGATGTAATTAAAATCTCTTCTGGGTAATCGAGTGGAGTATCTATAAAATAAATAATGTATCTAGAATCTCCTTAAAGCTGCAGTTGTCCTGTGCCCAAAAACCCTACAAGCCACAAGAGCCCAAAGAAGGGAAGACAAGGAGTGGAAAGAAACTCACCACAGTTATGCCATCATTTAGCAATGACTCTCCAAAGATCATCATGTAAAGCTGCTCATTAACAGAGGCTTCTTCAAAAACTACCAGCGCTGCCACAGGATCCACTGCTGAAATCATACTGCCAAAGAGCAGATTCTGCAGCAGGTTCAGGTCGGTCAGGCCGAAGGCTTTGATCTGGCAGACTCCATAGAGGGAGAGGCCAATCCCAAATGAGTTTAGCAGAGATCCCAGAACAGACCACCACAGAATGGACCCAAAGTTTTCAAAAAATGGGCGAGTTGGCATGAAATAACCCTCCTCCAGGACAATGGGTGGAAGGAGATACAAGAAGTAAATACTTGAGTTCATCACTGGTGGAGATTTGTGATGCGAAGCAAAGATGATTGCTCCTACCAGTGCTCCAATGGCAATCAGGATGCAGCTTTCAGGCATGAGTCTTGGTAATCGGTGATAGATATGAAAACCTTGAATAAAACATTAGGATATTATTCAAGTTTAAATCAACTAGTTGTCAGAGAGATGTTTTGCCTGTGTTTGAATACTTTGTCTTCAGACAGCTTTTGTTCTTGGGATTATGAATGTAAAACCAGGCAGCACTGTTCCCCTTGAAACTAAACATTCCCAGACTTGCATCATTAAGCAGGGCAAGAGTTTGGCCATAAATCTCTTCTCTTCCTGCTTCCCAGCTTTTGATTTTTAAGCAGGCATGCCTGAACCTAAGCTCCACTTCTGGGAAGGCAGAAACTTCTTTGAAAAGATTCTCCGCAATTTGGAAAGAAATATTCTTCAAGAATCCTTAATGCCCAACTGCTATTAGGTTGTCTACTCACTATACCAGGAACTGTGTAATCATATTGTGAATGAAAGGTATCTCTACTAGAAATGTGAGGAATTTTTCAGAATTTACAATAATGAGAATGAGGCAGACTAAGAAACCTTTAAATCCAATGTCTCTGTCTCTATGACTGAGGGTAGGTCAGCCTTCATCTTGTAACTCTAGAATGTAATGCCATGAGTGTATTTCTGTGACTCTTGAATTATCAATCTTCAAGAGTAAAGGAACAGAAAAATATTTTTATGAAATTTTCAATAATATATTTAGGACACCATTTTTTATTTTTTTTACCAAAAGAAATGTTAAGATCATAGCTTGACTCATCTCCCTTTTAATTATCATGCTCAAGTCTTCTGTCAGTTTTACAGAATAAGGGGATTGTTTTGCCTTTCAAGATCTCTAAAGTGTTTCCCAACCTGAAATCTTGAAATCCACAAAGATAATACCTGAATAAAACACTGGAAATGTTTAACAGCTTGAAAATCTTCTTCTCTGGGTAACCAGATTATTCAGACTAACTCTTTCTTCCAAGTATATTTGAAATCAGCAGCTCCACACTTTTCATCAAAAATAATATTATTTGAAAATTCTCAGTAAAGGGAACAGGTTCACTTGGAAAGCATCACACAGTTCTTCTAAAGTATCTATTTCTTGCTCAAAACAAGAACATTGAGTAGATGTGCCATATGGCAAGTCCTGTGCTTTTATGGATGATGAATAAAGAAATTGGTCAATATGCTTACTGCTAACACACTCTGCTGATGCCATAACAACAAATTTTAGTTGAGAAAATTTTGATTATTGTGCTAGCAGTGAGGACATTGTTTATAGGAATTGGACTGAGATCATCAGCTATAATAAAACTGGCAAATCATGATCAGTGGTAATGACTTCTGTCAGCTGGGTGACTATGATATGAAAAATGTTTTTCTTCAGGCCACCTTCAGATAAATATCAGTCCCACTTACCACCCTATTCTATAGTAATGTCTGAAAAACCCATGGAAAGATTAAAAAAAAAAAAAAATTACATGTGTCAGCTCTTCATATTATTACCATCTTCTTCATTTATTTGACATTGCTGCATTAATTCTGAGAAGTCAAAATAATTTGAGCCCAGCTGTGAAAATGTGTAAGACATGATGACCCATTTGCCATGTTAATTGCAGTCCCTACTGTTCAATGAGTTGTCTTGCTCCATTCAGATACCCACATGGAGTTATAATAGAAGATGGATGCATTGGTCTGTATTCAGAAGGTACCCACCCTACATCTCTGATGACCTACATCCTCTTAGACTCTCAGTCTCTCGCCTCTGGTATTTCTGAGCAACTTTAGAGTGCAAACATGTAAAACAAAGGCTCAGAGGGAAATGTTTCCTATTATTCACACAACAGGGGAATTCTTTCCACTTTTGTCCCCCAAATTCAATATGTTGAAATCTCAGTCTGGTGTAACTGATTTCTACGGTGGTGTCAGGTTGCAAATTCTGGTGTCTTGTGATGTATAAACACTAGAAAAAGGGATGGACAGCACTGCGTAGGGGAGCTGTGTTGCTACTCAATAACATAGACAACCCAAGAGACATAAGGTCATATGTTTACTTAAGTTAGCTAGAAGCATTCAGAGATGGAATATTGTTACTGCCATAGTAATGAACATACCTGTTCTTCTGAGGACAGAAGCTGTAAAATCAATCCCAACTACAAAAATGCATGGAAGGTACTTGGCTATGTGGTATATTTTTAACTTCTTGCCAAGGTAGGAGGACCCAAGACCCATTTTCTACTTACCTATTTTTGCAAGAGAGGCAAGGAGGATCCAAAGAGTAACTTCATAGGGAATTTGCACATAGTCATAGTCCACCGTGAAAACATGTAGCCTCGTATCTTGTGAAGAGTCAACAGTACCCCCAGGATCAGGTTCACGATGAGGCAAGAAGCTCTTGCCCAGGTTGGGCTCATCCACATAAGCAGCAGCAGAACAGGATATCAGACTCAACAGCAACAGCAACCAGTTCAAAAGCTTTGCATGTTCAAGTGCAGCACAGCCCATGTCTGGGGCTGTGACTATTTTACGACAAATACAGAGTATAGAGAGTGCATGAAGGTGTGTAACACTCACTTCTGCTGATTCATGCTGCTCATAGCCACAGCCACTTCTTCCTCGGGGCTGTTTCATTTGCCTGTTAGAGGTCATTTTAAAAGCCCTAATGTGCCTGTCCTGTTCCTTGTGTTACAGACGGACCTGGAGTTTGTATGAAGATACCGGTTCAGCAGGTTCCTCTGACCCAGATAAACCTTGGCTACAGTAACGCCCTCTTGAGGAATAAAAAGCTCTTTCCAACCTCTTGAGGAATAAAAAGCTCTTTCCAACTACATTATTTATCCAGCCATTTTGATTTTTTTTTCCCACTGTCAAAAATATATTAAAAAAAAAAAAAGGCAAAAAGCTGCAATGCTCAGAGATCAGGCAGCAAGTGCAGCACGAGTGAATAGCATCAGCTGGGAGAGATGCTTGGTGGCAGCTTGGGCAGCCAGGATAGCCTGCTTCATGCCTTCCTCTCTTGCCCTCGCTTCTCGTCTGCCTCCCCAGCACAACTGGGACCTCGGGCATCACACCTAGCACTGCTCACTGATCCCGTCGCAACTGGTAACGAAACTACTCGATGTGTAAATAAAGGGACTGTGGCAGGGCTCGCGGTAGGGACATCTGGTGGGGGACGACGCAAATTGCGTCCTTTTTAGGAAAGGGATTCTCTCTCTTAAACGCAGGTTTAAACTTAGCACATTTTATCAATAGAAAGAAGAAGGTCTGAGTCACATCACATGCCTAAAACTGGATTTTGAGTTATCTTGTTTGGCCTTTGTTTTATTCATACCAGCAAGGCACTTATTGGGCAGCCACATTATCCTCCTCCAACAAAACATTCAGCCTTATGGAACTTTTTTTAAAAAGGTCAACATCTTTTCTCCTCCACAGCACCACCAGTCCTTCCACTGAAATCTTTGAACCCAATACAAAATTATGCAGATAATGCTCAGCCTACTTGCAGAAGAGTTGTTCTCGTTTTCAGTATACCGGTCCTGTTAACAGCAGTATTTCTTGAAATCCCTTTCCAAAAAGGAATCTGGAAGATGGGCTATTCAATTAGCATTATAAAACAAGGATTTGTTAACTGGAAGGCCAAATAAAGCAAACAGAACAACAAATCAGTGGCTATAGTACTCAGATTTTCTTAACACAGAGCACTGCATTTCACTCATCTACAGCCATACACACAGACTGCAAGATTCCTCAAGAGTAAGTGATATGAACCCTGGAGAGTTGACAGCCAGAGGACCGCAAGGGAAAGACTTCAGAATCCCCAGAAGTGTGCTAGCTGTGACAACCAGGGCTTTGATTTACAATTGCAACACACCCATAATGCCAACAAGTTCAGTGGGCATTGAGTGACCAGCATCAGACAGGATAAGCAATGTGCAGGTGTCTATGAGTATGAAATGTTTCACAATTGGTAGGAATTCTTTCTCTTACTGCAGCAAGGATGGAGATGCCTGGGATAAGCCCTGAGACAGCGATCCTTCTTTTCTGAATCCCTTAGGCATACCCAGTTGTAGCAGTCTCCCATGGCGTTTTCCTGGTGCTCCCACTGGAGGAGGTAACTCACTTAAAGAGTCTGGATTTTTCCCATTAGGCTGCATTGGAAAATTAAACTACAGGCTTCCTCTGGAGTTCCCTTTTTTAATTATTTTCTAAAAAAAAAAATAAAAATATAAAAATATTCCCAAAAGAGTACAGGGAAAGAAAATTGTATGTCTCAACATCAGAGCAAAGGAGTATAATAAATATAATAAAAATAGTAATAAAAGAAAAATTTATGAAAGATAGCTCACATTTATGGTTGCATGCAGTGAAAGTTTTACTGTGGGGCTACAGCACTGTCACACTTCAGTCGTTCTTACTGTTTTGGAGTGAGCTATTGCTGACTGTAGTGAGAGTTCACAGTCATCCCATGATGTAGAAAAAGTCTTTGACAATCATGTCACCATTCCCAAAACCTTGTGAAATTTCTGCTATCAATATACCAATCTGAATAACCTTTGGAATAAGCCCTTTAGGCTGCAATTTCCCAGCATCTTAGTAGTTTTCACTGGCATGTGGTAACGCATATATTTCCAGAATTTCTTGTCTGAAGGGGCAGAAATAAAAGACTTCCAGGTAACAACTGGTAAAATCCGAAGAGCTTTCTTCACTGCTGGAGGTAAAGTCTCTGGCTCTTGGAAAGCTTGGAACTTTATTAATACCAGTTTGATCCTTTTATCTTCCAATGCACAGTTCACTGCTGCCTGCAGTTCAAAGATGCTTGGTCCACTGACGTAGGCTGGGCTCAAGATAATAATTACCCTTCTGCTTTGTTTAATAGCTGTTACAACTTCATCTGTGTATGCTGGAGAGAAAATGGTGATAGTTACTGCATTCTATAATGGAATTTTTATCTTATTAGTTCCTTTATGAACAGCTAAAACCCAGAAATAAGGAAAGCCAAGAACAGGAATGCTGACCAATCACATAATCTCTAGAAATGTGTTTGCTATCAGAGGGTACCATGGCTGTTTTTACATAGCCTTGAGAACACAACTTTCTGCTCAGGAGATGAAGGGCACAGCTGAGACCTCAACACACTTTGTTGCTACTCAAACAGGGTCTCAAGGGATACTTGGACTTGTCTTTGTCTCTCCCAGGAACAGGAACCCAGGGCTTTCTAATTACTGCAGGTAGCATAGACTAAAGTTGCACAAAAAGTAACTACTGAAATATCTGGGGTCTTCTTTCCAGGGAGTGGAGTCTGCTTGCAAATAAATTCTTAGATAAGAAGCTTTGTCTCAGCCTAGTAACTCCCAGTGATCACACTCAAATGTATGTATGCCTCAGGCACAGGGATCAGATATAAAGAACAAAACGTTATGAGATTTGAGCATAAACTTCACTACTAAAATACACAATTTGGTGATCTGGTGCATAAGGATTTTTTTGGAAAGTGAAACACAACTTTATAAAAACTGAAGAATTTCTACCATCCACAGGAATCTTACCTCCTCCTGGAAGAATATCTCTTTCAAGAATACATAACTTGTATCCATATTTATTTTCTAGTACATCTGGAAGAAGCTCCAGGGCAAATTTTTCCTCACTAATGAAAGTAGAGTCCCTTTCAGAAGAGTCTAGTTTTGCATAGGACACAAACGCATCAAATTCCTTGCCATCTAAAATAAATTAATAAAGAAATAACATTGTATACATTGTATACATTGTATACATTAGTAAGTCTGGCTGAGGCATTCAGCTTCTTTCTTAATGCTCAGTTTCCATTTATATCTATTTAAGTAGGCACAACACAAACGTAAAATTATAACCTGTTGATGGAATACAGCTATCTGTTTACCAAATCCTTGCTTGCTCTCATTGTCCTGCAAATTTTGTAGACATACTCTACCAAAGCAAAGGAGGAAGCTATAGATGCAAGGTAGTTTAAAGATCTGGCCCCTTCCATGCAAAATCCATGTGGTAGGGAATGATTACCTGTCTTTTCTCTCATTTGCCCAAATGCTGCTTCCAAAAATTTCTCATCAATGGCCAACCTTCTTTAAAAATATAATTAGTTTTAAAGTAACAATGTTCTTAAATATTAGCTGCTTGCAAAAGATTTTATGTTTATTGTTATGTTTCTAAGCAGAGACACGGGTGTAAGGAGCAAAGCCTAATTCTTATCAAAGTATCAGTTCAGACATCAAGTACTGACCTGCAACTGAGCTTTGTTTAAGTCTCATTAAAAGAATGTTTGTAGAGTGCAGATGAAAAATATATAAAGAACTTTCCTTAGCTTTCAGTCACTCTGGTACCAATGTCCTCAGTTAGGCCCATTCTTAACTACAAGGTAAAATATCTCTTTGTTGAATAAAATTTGAACTACATCTGAGGGAGAAGGAACAAAAAAAAAAAAGGATTTCTGGTGAAAGCAAAAGGCACAGTGGACTCAGTACATTTTTCCCTATGTAGTTACTTGAGGCCATTTAAGGTGTCCTAAGATTGATAGAACTGCCAAATTTGACAGGGGAAGTATTGGAGACTCAAGTCTTTTGGAATGACAGTACATCCTCAGGTGGTGCAGAGGGTCACTAGATTGATTTAGCTGAACATCAAATTAGCTACACCCTAAATCAAAGCTTCTTTGAAAACAGTTTTAAAATGGCAATAAATTGCACTACAAGCCAGCTATTCCTCATTTCACCCATAGAGGTCACTGTGATTTTATTAGACAACAACCATTAGCGAACACATTCCTTTATAATATTACTATTACAATAGCAAGTTAAAACCAAATACACAGTAAGCACCGCTGGGACTTTTTTTCCCCCCATAATTGCACAAGACAGTTACAAGCTGAGGAACTTTTGGTACAAACATTTAAGATCCTCAAAGGGTAGGAAATGAAGAATAACCAACTAAAGCAAAGTGACTGTATGCATGATCTATAAATGTCAGTATCAAAGCTCCTGCATTATTTCTTTCTTCTTGTGGAAGAAGGCAGGGGGTTTGTATCTTAACAGGATAAGGAGGAAGCCCAAGAGTTAGAGAGGCATGAGAAAAAATGTGACCTTGCTGCAGTCTTCAACCATCAAATGAGAGGGTACAAAGACGATGGACACAGTAATAGGTGAGAAGGCAACAGACACAAGTTGCAGCAAGGAAAATTCTCATTAGAGGTTAGTGAAAAAGTTTGCAGTGTGACAGTGGTCAAACATTGGAGCACATTCTCCAGAGAGGTTGTGCTTTCTCTGTCCACAAGATCCTGTACAACCTGGTCTACGATGGTTCTGCTTTGAGCAGGGTGTGGGATCAGATGACTCCCAGGGGTACCTTTCAACTTTGTAGGATTCTGCAATTCTCTGATTCTGTGCTAAGGGAGGTGTGGGAGAAGAAATGATGGAAAGGAAGAAGCAGCAAAATCAAGTCATAACTGCTGCTTTGCTGCTCTATAAGCAAGCCCTTTCAGACCTCAGGTGACTTGATATGCATCTACATGAAGTGAGAACGACATAATCCTGCAGGTGAGAACACATTTATCCTTAGGCAGAAAACTACCTGGGTAAGCAC